TAATTATAATTGTGCTGAGAGCTGATTAGTCAGTAAATACTAGTTTCATTATAAACAAATCCACAGAACTACACCACAGACCTTTCCTGGTTTTTATTTTATTTTTTGACTATTGTTTTCAATCATAAAGCCACAAAAAGTCAATGAAACCTTCCAAAAACTCTGACGGCACACAGGAACGGCTTCAGAAGTTGCATTTGATAGATGGGTAAACCAGCACACACTGGGCAGGTTCTTCTAAAATTGTTGGATTGATGCCAGATTCTCTGGGAACTTTGACACAACAGCCCGTCACCTTGATGTGACCACAAAACAAAGCTGGTGACAGTTAGAGGAAGTGTGTGAGGCTCTCGCACACTAAGCACTCCTTCAAATCCATTTGACTCTCTAATCCACCGAGTAACAGCCACTCTTTTTTTCCTCAATTCCTCTCCAGGTTTCTGGGTTGTTATTTTTTTCCTTTCTTTTTTCTCCCACTCCTGCATTTGCCAAAATCAGGCCTCTCCCTCTTCTCTCTCCATCCCATACACGTACAGCCGAGACACGGGAGATATCTAGACGTGCCCTGCCTTATTTTCCTGCTAAATTGTCACCAACAACAGTAGTTTCTGAACCTGAAATGGCATTTGAACTCTGAATTTAAAGGGATACTTTGCAACTTTTTCACATTTTTAAATAATTTTCTTGAGCCAGTTTGTGCTAAAACAACCCTTTACAGGGTTAATGAAATGTCTCCCTATGGCCGCTCCCAATATTCTACCCACAACTTAAGACTGGCAAACCGCTCTGTTAGGACTTAAAAGAGTTGAGCTGACATACCTGGTGCTGCAGTCTGTATCCAGTACATTTTAGATCATGACAGCTGATTTGATTAATTTAGTGATAAATCACTCCTGTAGACTCTAATGAAGGCTGAGGAGACATTTCAGCTGTTAGATGAAGGTGTTCAAAAGACGAACGCACAGCGAGGGATGGGTTTTGAATTTGGTTCCACAAACGGACACTAGGGGGTGCTAAAAGCAAGTAAAAACAGCCAAGTTCCCCTTTAACCAACTCACGAATCTGCACAGAAGTCAATCTTACATTTAACCAAAGTTAAGCAAACAAATCAATAAACTGACCAAGTATTAAATAAAAAGAAAAATCAGTGGACAGTAATGTTTTAGAGCATTTATTAAGCACATGTTTTTCTGGAACTTGAAAAAAATATTAAAATAAATACAACTTAAAATGTCAGAAATAAAATATACAACAAAAACTCTTGCATTCCTGCTTTTATCTGCTCTCTGACAGGAGAGATGAACAAGTAATGAAGAAAATTGGGTAAAAATAATATTAATTACCTGGAAAATATCAGACATATGGATATATATCAGATATATGGAGTATATTATATATGGAGCAATACTGGATCTGCTTTACTCTCATTGCGAGCAGAACAGCCGACTGAAGTTCGAAGTTGTAAACCTTTAAGTTTAAAATATGGAAGAAAAAGTATCAAAGAATTTGAGTTTTGTCACTAGGAAGGAATTTTACAAAAAAAGATCATAATTTTTCTGTATTTGTTTTCCACCTTTTTGAGTTGATGTACTCATTAAGTTTCTCTAAAAACTCATAAATGAAATTGGGTTAGACCAGCTACACTTGGGTTGTCGATGTAGAGGAAGAACATGCCAGCCTCGTTAAAAACTGTCTGCTCAGCTTCCAGCATAACAGCTGTAATACGACTTCTTGTTTGCCTGAAGTGTAATTGCTTGCATTACATGACTGCTAATCACATGCCTTTTACTTTGGCATTTCATTCTTCTTTTTTTTGTTTATTTTTTACTCAAAGCTTTCTCCTCCTCCCGTCTCTCTCCCTCCCACTGAGCCTCTATGGAGAGAAGGACTGAAGAAAGAGAAACTTAATCCTTCCACTGAGTCAGAGGTGGACCAGTCAGGGGCCTTTCTCTTTAACTTTTCACAAAGGAAAAAAAATGCTGGTTCTTTTTTCCCGTACTGAATCCTCACAGTTGGTTTCATATCATTCACATGCAACATTGAGCCGAACGGCATTTGATGCATTTGCCTTTATAGAGATATTTCGCTAGAGTGGACCCATGTTTAGTTACTTAGAAGAGGAGATTTGACTTACATGTTCTTTACAACCACTGAGCTGCAGTGAAAATGATATTAAATCTAAATGTTCAGACCATGATCATGAACGACCCAAAACAAATGATCTTACCTGTGAAGTGCAGCGAGATGTTTTATACTGTAGGGAAATATCTTAAAAACTAAAGGAAGAACGAAGGATAATTTCCCCAGTGCCCTTGAATCCTCCTGTTCCAGCTTCCATTTTAATTCCTACATTTTCCATGTTTCATTGTCCTTAACCCTCCAGGAAGGTTTGGAGTCTTTTCCTTTTTTTGCCCCTTTTGTGCTTGTCCATCACAACTGACATGCATAATAACAGGCAATTCACTTGAGTTATTTTCTATAGAAACATGATTGCCAAACCATGTTTTTCCTTTCGGGGTGGCACAGTCAGGCCACTTAATATCAATATTCTCTTTGTGCTGAGAGATGGGGGCCAATTGCCCTGAATGTCAGAATAATTGCACACAGCTAACCGCACACATGCATTTATTTTAGAAGGCACGCAAACGTTGCTTCATCACACACTGAGAAACACAATAAGTAGGACACACTCGCAATACGCGAATGATGACGCATGTAAAAGAAGACTCACGTGCAAGCAGATTGGGCAGAATGAGGGCACATAAAATGGACGCCTCTAACAAATTCATTGTAGAGATCGACTAAGGTGACTTTAAGAAAGCTTCTATTCTTCTAGCTAGGGAGGCACTCATTCAGAAAGCGGCTACCACTCACAGTTGTGGCCTTAGGGTTGAAGCAGAAATATGAGTTGGACGGGTGGGCAGACGGGAACAAAGACTGATGCTCATATCTGAATTTAAGGCTGAGGACAAGGGAACACATTCAAATTAGTTGCTATTCATTGGATGTATACATTTGTTTCCTCTCTAGGCTTGTTACTGCTGGGTTTAACATACACTGAAAAATGGAAAAATATTATGTGAGGTGCAATGAAAAGAGTAAAACATTAAAAAATGTTTATATTTTTCATGCTTCACCACCTTTTTTGGATCATTATGACCAGTAGTTAGTGACATTTCATGACTCAACTGTGTCACAAAGACAGAATGGTGTGAGTGTATTCTTTTATCCAAACGTATGAAGATGTGCAGTTTCATTAAAGATGTAGAACACCGAACAAACGTTTTTTAATTAGTATTTCTAATTGTCATTTTTCATGCTGGCTGAACAGGAGAATAGTCTCCCATACCAATCTCCTGCATTATAGCTTCTGATAGAAAATACAGTGAAACTCTACGATTAGAAAACCCTGACAGATCTCACACAGTCACTTAACATTCATGGACTCTTCCATCTTGACTCACAACGAGGAAGGCTGTTGTTGGTTTAGTGTTCAGGAAACAGCAGAGAACGTCTCAGCTGGTAGAAGACCGTTCCATCAAACCATCAACTATAAACCAAAAGCTTATAACAGGTTTTATTGGTTATATAGGGAGGTATTAGCTTAGTACTTCTCAATGTGTTATGCTTGTTTCAGAACCCAAAATCACCCTGTAATTTTTATGAATGGTGAGAGAAGCACTAGCACACCCTTTCTTTAGTCTAACTACAGGGACTTGGAAGTCATGATGTGTTATGTTATTCCAGCTAGGCTACACCTAAAGCTAATGTGTTTTTGTGTGCAAACTGCCCGATCAGACCTTGCAACAAAGAGGGCTGTAAAGTGGTTGAATAATTTTTAAAAAGTTAAATAAATCTGTGCACGTAATTATTTAGATTTTTGTGCAAGAGTCAAATCTGTGTCACACACTCATGCACCGCTGCATCTGTTTACTGGTGGAGCTTCCCCCCATCTGTGGAACTAGAGCACAGCGATTGAGAAACGATCAAAATACACTTAGAACCTATGAATTCATACTGGCATGCACATGACACGCACACATATCTACTGATGCATGAAGATTTGCACAAATGAACCGATGCAGTCTGTAAGCACACACACAGGCTTTTGTGATAATCGATTGAATTAAGTGCTGCATTTTGTGTCACATGCACACACATTTCAAATGACCATAAACACAAAGTCCAGTGATGTGTGCAGTCAAGCTGCATGTTTGCTTCTTTGCTCCAGAGACTTTTAATTTCTGTCATCTTTGATTTTCTTTCATTTTTAGTTTTTAAAATCTGTTTTCAGTGGTCAACCTTTTATGCTCAAATCGCACATTGTTAAAAAAATCATTGCAGACCATAAAATAAATGTTAAAGCAGTAATCCTTTCAGAATTAATGTATTCATTTATTGCTGTATGAATTTGTGTTTCAGCACCTCACAAAGCTGTCACCAAAATGACGTCTTTGTTCTGGGACTTCAGTGGCACCAGAGAATCAATAAATCACAATTTTCCAATTATCTTGGAGATTGTAACCAGTACCTTTAAAACCCATGTCTTATTTTCTGACATTTATTTTCCACTAAAGGGACCATATATAATGTTTGGAATATAAATATCTCCGTGCAGCTTGTTTGTACCCTCAGAGCTCACCGTCTCCTACTCCCAAGCAGTGTTTGGTAAAATGACCACAGCTATGTATAATTCAGAAGCTTCTAAACATTGATGCCAAGTGAAGAGGCGGTGTAAGTTGCAGCAGATGGTCAGAGTACATTCATCGTTCCTCTTTGATGGCTTTGTTAAGGTTGGACGTGAGTCTTCTGCCAGGTGCTGCTGATAATTTGAGTAAATTATTTTTTGTATATGAGAGAATTTGTGCTCATTCTTCCATGAATGGTGGTAATGACAATGTTTTGACATTGTTGTACAAATTTTCTACACTTCACTGTTTTCAGAGCTTTTTTTAGTTCCAAACGAATAATCTGATTTGTTCTCTTGTTTCCTTCCAAAGCCATTTCATCCAATGGTCAACCTCGTGTGCAGCGCTGACTTGAGGATGTTCCTGTGTGCCCTGTATGCTCCGGTGTGCACAGAATATGGCCGCTTGTCCATGCCGTGTCGGTCCATCTGTCAGCGTGCCAAGGGGGAGTGCCACAAACTCATGGAGGTATTTGGAGTAGCGTGGCCAGACGACATGGAGTGTAGCAGGTATGAATCGAAAACATTTTACATCATTCAGGTTCTAAAAACATGTCCTTTTAAGTCTGAACTTTTCTTTGGTTCATTTTTAAAGTTCAGTTCACCAGGCATGCCTAGCTTGTTACACGTGTCCAATTTGTGTCTTGACTTGTTGTATTCAGTGCAGAATGATGGGTGCTTTTGTGGTTTTCAGTGAAGAATAAGCAACAGTGTGTGCTGAGTGGTGTCTAATGAAGAAACTTTTACTCCTTAAAAATATCTTCAAGATCAACTAAAACATACATACATTGACTAGGAAAAGTAAAACAAAGTAACTTTTGCTACTTTTTTGCACATTTTTTTGTTATAATGAATTTTATACAACTGCTGTAAAGACTTGTCATATTGTCATATTGTATAGAAATATGGGGTTCAACTTTTAAAACACATATAAATGAAATAAAAACTATACAAAAGAAAACTGTTCGAGTTATAAACAGGAGCAATTATTATGCTCATACTGATCTGTTGTTTTTAAAATCACAGATTATGAAAATAGAAGATCTATATTATTATAAAATAATGCAATTTATGTTTTGAGCAAAATTAATGTTTCTGCCAGAAAATATACAAATGCTTTTTGAAAAGAGGGAAAGTAAATATGATTTAAGAGGTGTATGCATGTTTGTTGTACAAAAAGCTAAAAAGGGTATAAAAAGGAGATGTACTGTATCTCTGTAATGGGAGTAAAATTTTGGAATGAGGCTAAAATATCATTTAAATTAGCAACTTCACTTTCAGTTTTTAAAATACTTATCAGTAAAAATATTTTTGAAGAGTGTTAATTTGATGTTGGTGGATGGGTTTGTGTTTTTGATTTTTTTCTTTTTGGTTATTGGCACATTGAGGGAAATTGATTTGTAAGTAGGTTAGGCGATTCTATAAGATTTTGCTTCTGCCTAAACCTGTTCAGTTATGAGATACTGAATAGATACTATAGACAAATATATGAATATATATGTTTGTGGAGGAATGGAAATATATGTATCTAGTTGTATGATATGTTACTGTTTACATTAATTATTTTTATGATGACTGAATAGAATTGATAATCCATTCAATCTAGACCAATATTTGTAGAAGCAAACGGACGGTCTAGCAATGCTCTATTGAAAGCTTGTAGTCCCAGCTAGTATTGTGGCTGGCCAATCAGTGTGTTTATTTAGAAAATTTATGTATTATTAGTATTTTTTTATTATGTTTTATGTAGTTCTTCCACGATGTAACGGCGGACTTCCCATTCACTACAATCTGTAGTAGTCCAATCCCAGTGCTGTCGGTTTGGTGGGCCAGTCACAGCACTCTGTTGGTGGTCAGGATGTTATTGATAAAACAAAGATGGGGACGGCCCCGGCATCCACATTGGACTATTTCCACAGGAGTGATTCATCACTACATTAAACAAATCAGCTGTATTCATGATCTAAAACATGCAGGAAATGTACTGGAACCAGATTGCTGCGCCAGTGATGTAAGCTCAATTTTCTAAACCCCAACAGAGCAGCCCGCCAGTCTTAAGTTGCAAGTTAAATATTCTGGCCACAAGGGGTGATATGGGCTGGGCGGCCTTTCATTAACCCTGTAAAGCTGGGCTAATATCAATTCCGGGCCTGGAAGGCCGGTATCCAGCAGGGTTTAATGGGTTCTCTGCTCCAACATACTTGATTCAGTGGTTGAATCACCTGTGCTCATCAGGCTCTGCTGAAGCCTGCTAATTACCTGCTGATTGAAATCAGGTGAGTTGAAACAGGGTTAAAACTAGAACATGTTGGATACCGGCCCTCCAGGCCTGGAATGGAATACCCCTGCTGTAAAGGGTCATTTTAGCTCGTACTGGCTCAAGAAAATGATTTAAAAATATTAAAAAGTTGCAAAGTATCCCTTTAAGTTTCACAACACATGTGAGTGAGCGCGTCTGTGGGGAAAGTTACATAAAAGATGCATCAGGTAGAACATCAAATGTGGATAAGGAAGAAAAACAAGTGATCCGAAGCACTCTGAGGATTATATTTTTTATTATTAAGCTTAATAAAAAATATAATCCTCAGAGTGCCTCGGATCACCTGTTTTTCTTCCTCATCCACATTAAGTATCTCTTTAAGTTTATTTAGCAATAGGGTGTATTTGCATCTTCTTTCATGGAGTATGGCAGACTGCCTCGTTGACTGACATCTGTAGCTGTGAGTATGTAATGTTTGTTATCCAACAGCATGTGGAGACGGTGTAAAATACAATTGTAGACCGTGGCCAGACTATGCATTCACCATTTAGGGCGACAGTAGCCCCGTAATTGGAAGGTTGCAGGTTCGAGCCCCACTCAGTCTGTTGCTGTCATTGTGTCCTTGGGCAAGACACTTAACCCCCTTGCCTGCTGATGGTGGTCTGAGGGAACGGTGGCGCCTGAGGATGGCAGACTCGCCTCTGCCAGTGTGCCCCAGGGCTGCGAGTGTGTGTGTGATTGGGTGAATGACTGATTGTGTTGTAAAGCGCCTTGGGGGGTTCTGGGACTCCAGAAGGTGCTATATCAAATACAGGCCATTTATCATTCATATAAACGATGGCTTGCCAGGCTACCAGGGAAGCTGGATAGAATGAAATCTTTGGCAGATTTGATATTAAATGTATCCATTATTCATCACCTAAAGGTTTTTATTTTCTTCTTTCTCTAATATATTATCATCCAGATGACATTTCTCTACTGCTCACCCTTTAAAAATGAGTGAATTTAAACATCTATAAAAAATTAATGATGAGGAAAATCTTACAAATGTTGATGCTGTTAGTCCGAATATTGACGTATGTTGTTGTATGAAAAAGTTGATGTGATTAGATAAAAAGCAAAGTATTAGTCATTTACAGCAGATTAAGCTACGCAAGCTGACAAAGTTCTTATCTTCCAGGTTCCCAGATTGTAACAAACCCTATCCTCGTGCAGAAGACCTTCTAACAAGTTCTGAACCCACTGACCAGTCATCCAAGACCGTCCAGAGGGATTACGGTTTCTGGTGCCCCCGAGAGCTCAAGGTTGACCCAGATCTGGGTTATACTTTCATGGGAAAGAAGGACTGTTCTGCTCCATGTCCCTCAATGTTCTTCAGCCAGCAGGAGCTGGCCTTCACCCGATACTTCATCGGAGTCATCTCCATTGTTTGTCTGTCTTCAACACTGTTCACCTTTCTGACCTTCCTCATTGATGTCACAAGGTCTGACTGGCTGCGATCCACTTACTCTGTTTTCTGATGCTTTTTAATTTAAAACAATGTTCAAACTTCATGAAGTATATGGATTTAAAGATGTAAAATGCATTTGAGAGGAACCTTGAAAATAAATCAGTCTTGTGTTTCCACAGGTTCCGATATCCAGAACGGCCAATCATCTTCTATGCTGTTTGTTATGTCATGGTGTCGCTGGTCTTTTTCCTGGGCTTCCTTCTGGAGGACAGAGTAGCATGCAATGCAGTCAGCCCTTCTCAGTTCAGAGCTTCGACCATCACACAGGGTTCTCACAACAAGGTGAGATGTTCAATCACCCCCTACCTTTCTGCTATGTACTCAAATCCTAAAAGATCATCTTCTCCATTCACGTGGTTGATTAAACAGACGTTCTTTCCAATGTTCTCTCTCAGGTGTGCACACTCTTCTTCATGGTGCTGTATTTCTTTACCATGGCTGGCAGCGTTTGGTGGGTCATTCTGACGATCACTTGGTTCCTGGCTGCGGTGCCTAAATGGGGCAGTGAGGCCATTGAGAAGAAAGCCCTCCTCTTCCACGCGGTTGCCTGGGGTCTACCAGGGGCTCTGACTGTCACCCTGATGGCCTTGAATAAAATTGAGGGAGATGGGATCAGCGGAGTGTGTTTCATAGGCCTGTATGACATCGATGCCCTGCGGTGGTTTGTCCTGGCACCGCTCTGCTTCAACGTGGCGGTGAGTAGAGATGGAGATGAAACGAGTGGGAAGGTGTGATGGAGAACAGGTTGTTGAACAGAGAATAAACAACTTACTCTTTGGTTCATGGTTATTCTGTCATCAGTTTATTTGTATCCTGAACTCATTCTTCATTTCTTCAGGTCGGCATCTCCCTGCTTTTAGTGGGAATTGTTGCTCTGAATCGTGTACGCATGGAGATTCCTCTGGAGAAGGAAAACCAGGCCAAACTGGTCAAGTTCATGATTCGAATGGGAGTGTTCTCTGTGCTCTACCTCATTCCACTGTTGACTGTGATTGGTTGCTACATCTATGAACACACCTACCGGAAAATCTGGGAAACAACATGGATGGAGGAAAACTGTCGGAGTTATCATATTCCCTGCCCATTCAAGGTAAAACGGAACCTTTACTCAGTTTAACACACCAACAAACAAACAAAGTCATCCTTACCTCAAAACTCTATTGTAAACCTCAAGTTTATGCGATGATTCTCTCTCTGAGCTACAGCTGTTCAAATTTCAGTGTCCTTCTCTCCTTGATGACATCACACCATGGCCCCAGCTTTAAGGCAGTGTACTAACAGATGTTCTTGAATGTAGTCATTAGTTGTAGCAGCAGCACGGGCCAGCATTATTCTGCAGTTAACATTACTTTCACCAACGTCTATATATTACTGATGTTGGGGTGGGTTGCAGATTTAAGAAGGTTTGTCTTTTGAGTTAAAACAACTCCTAAATCATTTTCTTGAGCAAGTATGTGCTAAAATGACTGTTTACATGGCTGTTGAAATGTCACTCAGACCCCCCACGGCCCTTTGTGGCCAGAATATTCCACTTGCTTCAGAGTTGCTGGTCCACTCTGCTTCTAGCACGTTTTCTGCATGTTTTAGATCATGAACACAGCTGATTTGTTTAATTTAGTGATGAATCACTCCTGTAGACCGTAAGGAAGGCTGGGGAGACATGTCAGTTTTTAGATTAAGGTGTTAAAAAGTCAAACACGCAGTGAGGAAACAGGTTTTGCTTTTGATTTTACAAACGGACACTAGGGGGTGCTAAAAGCAAGCCAAAATTAGTTTAAATATTGAAGTGCCAACTCTTGGTGGATAGATAAGAGATGAGATCCTATCAGATAAAAGTGGGTTTATGTTTAAGATGTTGGAGCCTTACTGGTGCACTGCAGACTGTAGGTCATTTTATCAGCTGGTGTTTATCGGTCTGTCTCGTTGCAGGAGCTTAAATATGTTGGTGAAACTGACAGTTGTTTGTATCACCAATAGTTTCCAACTAAGCTGATCCATCACTAAAGAGTGTATGAGTAACCAGGTTAATGGATGTGTGAGATGTGTGGATCATTAGCTCATCTAATGCAGCTCTCCACTCTGACTCTACAAAAACAACAGTCTTGGTTGCCTCTGGGCTTCCCTGTCTTCTTGTCCTTCACTTTTTTGACCAATTTCACACACTTGTACCTCCCATCTCCTCCCTTCCTCAGTCGGTGTCTCTTTCTCAGGGCTTGCTCTGTCATGCTCTGCTGCTGTTTCTCTATGAAGCCTTTGTAGCCGTCTTGAAGAGCTGCGGGAGTTTTATACAGTCTGCTGCTAAATTAATAATAAAAGTAATGAGCATGACTCCTTTCTGCTTGATAAGTCATGAATAAGCATCACACACAAAGCATCGGTTTCTGCTTTAGTTTTGTATTACATCTGTGTGATTCTAGGCCAGCATATGACAGGCTGTATGAGCGTGCGGAGGCAGGTGCAACCACTTATGTTACTTGTCAGCATATGAGTTCATGTCTCTGTGTGTGACCTGCTTTACGTGCCGTTTAGGCTTTAAAACTTCATTATTGCTCTGTCATTTGATCTTTTCCCTTGGATGTTTCCGTACCGATGACTGCGTGTGTAGCAGAGGGTCCAGCTTAATGTTTATTTACAAAATCAGAATTTTCTCAGGTCTTTGGTACGTTATCCAGACTCCTACGAGTGTACTTACTTTTTATTCATGATGAAATGTTTCTTTTTAAGATCTTGCTCATTTTCTGATTGTTTTTCTAACGTTTGCAGTAGCGTTGGAGAAAAGTTCTGCATGTGAACTCTTGTTTTTATCAAAACTGACATAAAATACTGCCCTCTAGTGGAAGATGAAAAAAGGGAGCTGCAGGTTATTTTTCTTTTTAGGATTTATCGTCATCATTTTGCCATTGAAGCAATACTCTACTAGACTAAGTTACATTATTACTATAAAGTTTTTTTGTTGTTGTCCTCTTTAGGTTGAGAGGACCAGCAAACCACTTATGGTTTTGTTCCTAATCAAATATGTGATGATGCTGGTGGTGGGGATCCCGTCGGTGTTCTGGGTGGGCAGTAAGAAGACCTGTTTTGAATGGGCCAGCTTTCTCCATGGACGCAGGTGTAAAGCGTATGTAGACACGGTCTCCTTTTTAGTACCTGATGGTTTAACCTTTTAGAAAAAGTTAATTCTGTGAATCCATATTTAGTTTTTTTAACCAAATGAGGAAATTTTTTACACCTTGAATGTAAATGTGAGCATTTAAATAGCAAATTTTTGCTCCCTCATTAACCTGTAGGGTTTTTAATAACTGCTTTTGTCTCTGCAGCAGTGGAGTGAACGAGTCCAGACAGGTGCTGCAAGAGCAGCCAGACTTTGCCCAGTCTCTGCTACGTGAGCCAAACACCCCCGTCATTAGGAAGTCCAGAGGGACGTCTACTCAGGTCAGAATCAGCGCTAAACATTAGTATGAGATGTCCATGTGGCTTCAAATACCATCCTTGAAACTTAGGCTTAGGGCACGGTCGGCACGTTTTAGTTGTTTCCCTGCTGCAACACACCTGATTTCATCAGTAGGTGATTAAGAGGCTTCTGAACAGCAGAAACTACAAAAACATGCTGGATAGTGGCTGTTCGTTATTGGTTTTAACGACATTTTATAGACATGTAGGTCTAAAGCACTGTGTACTTTCTCACCCCTCTGTAGGGCACCTCTACACATGCCTCCTCCACCCACTTGGCAGCTCTAGATGACCTTGAAGAACCGGTCAGGACCCACAGACATCCTGCATCATCCAGAAGCAAACCCAGCTACCATGGCAGCCTGCGCCGCACTCGAGACAACCGGTAGAGCTAAAAGCCATCACAGTAATGTTCTTCTTGTCTCCATTTCTCCTCTCATACATGATTCTGCTGCTCACAGAGGCACACCGGAACACAGTTTCCATGGCAGCATGCCCCATCTCGACCACCCACTCTCTACTCACAGCAGCCTGCATCAGATAGATGGCCACTCGAGGGGCGGCAGCCAGCAGGATGTTTCTCAGGTGCCACCCACCCTCATCACTCATGGCACCACGTCAAGCGACGGCCGAGTCGCAGAAAACGACGGCACCAGTGCTTGAAGAATCTGGGTTCCTAGAGAGTGTTTAACAATGGCTGGTGCTAAAAATGTGTCCTCAGCAGAAGCAGAAATTCAGTGTTTGGGTTTTCTGGATACAGTGCCAGTGAGTGTTGGAGGTGGTTGCCTACTGGATGGAAACCAGCAACTGCGTAAAAGGTTGTAAAAATAAAGAAAAAGGCTGTTGCACTTTTTTTTTTTAAACCCTGATTCCTCCTTATATGTAGATTGAACTTGTCTTTAATTGCTAATTGTCAACACTGCCGAGTTGCTTCTTAACAATCTTAAACACTTTGTCCAGTCTTAGTAAAGTTCGTCTTTGGCTGCAGAGACAAATATGGGCCTCATCAGGATCGTGGACCTTTGTTTTAGTAAAATTTTTATACTGTGATTGTTTTCAGCTGCTTGAATTGTGTGTGACAGATTCCTAATCACCAAGCAGGAAGTTGAAAGATTAAATCTTGAGTTTTATTACACAAAGGGCAGTTTCAACAACTCCAACAGTATTTCAGTGTTTACTTTTTCTTTTACAGTTCAAAGTATTCTAACTTCATATCAGACAAGACTTTGTGAAATGAACCCCCCCCCCCCCCCCCACCCCCGACATTAAACACAAATTTGCCCAGAGAGACGCAGCTACATGTTTGAGAGTAACCTACCTCACCTTGACCTTTAGCCTTTTCTTTGATCACTCACAAAATCAGTGTCTGACCTGACTTGACCTGTCAACTGATACACTGGTAATTACATAGTAATTCTGTATGTTTGGGCTTCTCGTGACCAGCTGCCTTCATATCTGTTGTACATAAGTGACTGTGTGATGACTCATCAACCTCTCTTCCTGAGTGTTTCTTGGACCTACAGCAAACCGTCTGTCACGACTGCTTCTAGAAGCATTAACTGCTATGAGTTTGTCTCTAAGCACATTTGGAGGAACCTTCTGCTCTATTTTTGCATAAGCAGCAGCAAGCTATATTGTGAACTATTGTAGCATGATGCTCAAATGTTGTGGATTTTGTTCTTGATTTAATTTATTTGCAGTTTGAAACTGTAACATTTATACACTAATAAACTTTTTTGCTACACTGCATTTTGTTAATTTGGTGATGAAAATTTCATAAAGTAAAACATATTTACAGCTTAGGACCAGACTCCGGATCGTTCCCGTTTGCGGCGAACAATGGCAGCTACATCTTGTTTGAGCGTAGAGACACTCTGCTCCAGCTGCTCTGAGAAGTCCCTCAGCAGACGGTTCTGTTCGTCCACAAACAGTCTGAGTCCCAGCAGGTCAGACTCCTCCTGCACAACAAACGGTTAAAACATGTCACCTGTAAGCCAAATAAAATCACAGCGGTTTGCAGGATTCCTAACAAACGCACACTCGGCTTGTGTCTGCGCAGTCGCTGCAGCTGGCCCTTTATGGAGGTCATACTGTGGTAGAAAACCTTTAGAGCACGAGCAAACTCTGCATCACAGCTGGGACGCAACAACCAACCCCGAGTGGCATCTGCTCCTAAAAGCAGAAGAGAGAAATGTGGATGTGTTGCTGCAGCTTTTGAAAAGACTAAGATTTGGTTACCGGTTCTGGATGTGTGCAGTTGTTCTCTCAGACTGTGGTTCTCTTTCCTTAGAGAAGCATTTACACTCTTTAGCTCCTCCAAGTCCTGTTGGAGAGCTCTGACGCAACAGCTGAGCTCAGCAGAATCCACTACCTACAGACATAAACATTTATAGCACTGTTTGGTGTGAAGAAAGACTAATAGATCATTCTACTTTTATTCTGACATTAACTCACCGCTGCTTCTGACGGACCAGACTCATCGATGATGAAGATGCCCTCTCCCGTCATCCTCATCGATTCCAGAGACGAACTCAAAGGACAGCAGCCCTCTGAGTCAGAAGCATGTTTAACTTTACTGCTGTCACTTCCATGTTAAAGAGTAAGTCACCCCCTACCAGAGTATTACTTCACTCCCACTTCCTGTTTGAAAAATGCAACAAATGCTGTTGCCTAGCAGAGCGAGAGGGCGGAGCCACTAACAAATACACACACACAGGCTGTGTTTCAATTCAGGGTCTGCATCCTACGTCGGCCGGATTCGTCGGACGGTTACGCCACAACGCCGCGACTAGGCCTGTCCTAATTCAAAGACTCCTTCAAATGCGGTCGACGAATCCGGCCTTCTTTTCGCCTGTATGAAGGATGGGTCTGGTGTATCCTTCAATGGTTTACATTTCCCAAGATGCCTTGCAGGCCGGACGGTAGAACTTTTAAAAACAATGGCGGACAGTGAAGTGGGATCTGTCGGAGAGGATTGTGCATATAAATGTCAGTATAAACTTGAAAACTTTTAGTTTAAGGACTTTTGTGATACATGAATGTTATTTTAGTTAGAAATAGTACAGTAAAAGTGCTTGTATTGCGGTCTCGGCTCGTATGTTCGGCCGCTCTGTGTCGTACTTCTCCCGCTACGTTTTCCCCCTGATTTTAATAGGAGTTTGTATTTTAGGGACAAGAGAAAACCAGGGAATTTATTAAGCTTAGGGCGGAGATGGACCACATGATCACCGGAGCAAAGTATTCGGCGGCTGTGGCATGGAGGTACAATAACATCTCATATTTTAAAAACTGTCGTTTGAGTTTAGTTTTTTCTGTGAAAACATGAAAGGAATAACCCATTGTCCTGTTTTCTCTTCCTGTTTCTTTTCTTACATGTTTGTTAAGACTATTCTGGAGAAAATGGGCATCCAGGGGAAGGTGCCAGCGATGACCAGCTCCTGGAGCTCATCAGGGAGGACATGAGGCTGCAGAGGGAGGCAGAGCTGCAGAGGGCAGGAGAGAAGGGAGAACTTTGACAGCTTTTTACTTTGCTAGAAAAAAATGGTTAATAAAGATTAAACATGTACATATAAAAGAAATATCTAAATAAAATCAGTTCTGTATTAAACTCTTGAATTTTATTTTTGTTTACAAATGAGAATTGTTTACTAGAGGGTATCCCGCTGGGTCTTAAAGTCTTAAAAGGTGATAAATCAGTTTTGGTCAAATTAAGACCCTTAGAAAGTATTAAAAACTATTATCACATCTTTGCTCAGGCTCAGCTTGTCGAAAGTATTTTCTCTGAATTAGCTCTCCAACAGTCAAGGAAATGATTAAAAAGCTAAATAAAACTTTGAGCTCCATCATTTAAAGTTCCTTCTCCCTTCTGCTCAGCGGTTCCACGGTTGCTAGGTGACGGAACGTTCGCCGAGGGAGTGGCGGGAATTCATGAAGGCTAGGCCTGTCCAAATTCACAGCCGTTAACATCCAGTCTACTCGGCCGACGGAGGACCCAGCCCACGTCGGCCGAGTAGACTGGGTCCTTCGAAGGATGCAGACCCTGAATTGAGACACAGCCACAGGCTCACAGTGACATTGTGACATCATATCATACCAGCTAACATTCTAGTGCACCTCTTAGCCAATAGCGATGGCAGATTTAAAGTCAACTGCAGTGCAGAGTTTTTATCTGACAACGGCACAACACTGACAGTTTTAGGCAGAAAATTTAAATTTGAACAAAACTGCACTAAAATGCAAAACTTGAATACACGTGTCTGCAGCATGATTAGACACACATTTATATAGTTTATCAGGGAAAAAATAAGTTGATTAGGGGGTGACTTGCTCTTTAAGTTTCATGATTTCACTCCCACCTTGAAGACCCCAGAGCTCCAGCACCACAGCACTGCTCTGCAGGTAGTCCAGCAGATGCTGGGAGGTGTGCAGAGAGGCGAAGTGGACCCGGTGGTCCAACAGAGGGTTGATGTTGTGCCACACAGCTGGAGTAAAGATGGGCTGGCTGCAGTCGAATAATCTGAAACTAACAGAGACCAGAATAAATCTTTGTCTCAGTTTATGTGACACTAAACAACCACACATGCCTTACCCAATCTGGATTCCTCGGTTGCGGGCATCTCTTATCCAGCGAACCCCACAGCACTGAGCCAAGACCAGCTGGAAGTCCAGTCTCCGACCCAGTACCTCAGACGGATCAATCAAGATGTCATCTTCACCCAGAGGGCTGGGGAGGTGAAATGCTTAGTCACTGATCTATCTATCCAACTATCTATCTAGTGTGTGTGTGTGTGTGTGTGTGTGTGTGTGTGTGTGTGTGTGTGTGTGTGTGTGTGTGTGTGTGTGTGTGTGTGTGTGTCATACAGTCCTGTCGAAGTACATGGGACCAGCTGGGCTTGTAGAATGGCCTCCTCTGTGCCCTCTGACCCCAACACCTGTGGTTAAAGATTACCAGCCAGTCATCAGTCATTGCCAAAGCCAGAGTCTGGAATCATGTCCAAGTACCTCTAGTTGTTCTTCCAGGGAGATGCGGAAGGCCAAAGACTGAAGCCAGAGGTGAGCTGTGCCCAGGAGCAGAGGTTCGACTGGATCCCAGAACGGGTCTTTATCTCTGGGCAATGCAACTGCAGGGAGTCCCTCTGCTCTCTGATCACAGGAGACAAGTGGGTCACAAGTTACTAATTAGAAATGCAATAACTGAAATATTTGTTCTTCTGAGCCTTTTTTTTTATACATACAGCACAACAATTAGACTCTAAATGTACGTTTTCCCCGCTCTGCTTAGCCTGGAACTGCTGGTAAACATCCTCCATCAAAAACTTGCGGTTGACAAACTTGGTTTTGGACCAGATCCAGACCTAAACACGACAACTACAGCTTATTAAGTAGCGTTCAAAAATGATCCAGAAGAAAAATCAAAGACACCAGCCTGTTTGTCTCCTTTAGAGGCGACTCTGACAACAATGTCCTTCTGCAGGTCATGACCTTTGGAGTCTGACAGCACCAGATTCTTGATCTCCAGCTTGAACTCTACTTCCTAAACAAACAAATTCATAAAATTCCTACAATGTGCCATTGTTTGGCTTGTAAACTAATAAAAACAAGATGAAGACTTGCAGCATGACCCTGTGAGACCTTGTTCAGTTCTTGGCTCATTTGGTTGGCCTCTGCCACCATCGGCATCAGTTTGACGTAGTCGTAGAAAACCGCTAGTAGACTTGGGTCTGTCTGACTGAATCCAGCACCCGTCTCACCTGGACAGACAGAAGAAGTTGTCCTTTTCCAAAGCACTGAACCAAGAAGTTTCTCCTCCACTCACCCAGGTGGATGCCTTCAGCAGCAGCCAGTTCAGACTGGAAGTAGTCGTAGTCGTAGCGGCTCCAGTCATCTGCGCCGCGCTCGGAAGGATAACCGATGAACAGGTAGGTCGAGTTCGAACCCAGAATGAGACGATCCTAAAAACAAAATCGACATTAGAAAATACAAAAGTGGAAGCCGTTCCATCACTGGAACGTGTGCAGAGACCCACCAGGTGCTGCAGCTCTGTCGTCTGGCAGACGGTGTTACCGTTGAGGATGACCTTTGACCCTGCTGTGGGAGTTAATGTAACTCGCCGCTGTTCATTCTTTAACACAGCATGACGCTCTTGGATCCTGACAAAGATATTTTTTAGCTACTCAATTATTCAGCTGAAACATCAAGGTAGACATAAAACATGCACTCAACTATAAAAAATGACTGAAATGTAGAAAATGTTTTAATATGTAGATATTTACATTACAAGTGAATCACACCTTAATGTTACTCTATTCTTTTACATTTAATTGCAAACCTTAATCAGTAAAAATGAAAACAAAAATCGTGGAAGTGAAACGGTTAATATTCTCTTCCTTTGTAAATTATTTATATTGTTTTAGTGCAACAAAGAAAAAAAATCACCCTAAGCCTTTAATAGTGATGGATCTGGGAGACGAGTCGCTGAGGCCAACGTCCCACTCACCTGGAAAACAAACAAGATCAACAGCCCTGCGTCCAACAAAATACGTTTTCAGCTACACGTTTGTCAGAAACTAGAATTAAAACTGAGCTCTGATGCTTTCTCCCAAACATAAAACATGAGAATTACTCTGAAATCATTCAAACAGTCTAACCCTCTTGAATGAAGAGCTTCACCACTCCTGAGAGCTGAGCATCCTCATTGATGTTCAGGATGTAGGGATGCATCTGCATCATCCTCCTCTCCTGAGGGTGAAGAAACAAAAAATATTTAATATAAATCCTGGAATGCTGGTGTGTGTGTGCGTGTGCGTGTACGTGTGCGTGTGTGTGTGTGCGCGCGCGCGTGCGTGTGCATGTGTGCGTGTGTGTGTGTGTGTGTGTGTGTGTGTGTGTGTGTGTGTGTGTGTGTGTGTGCACCTGTGTGATGTTGGCATACTGCTGCTCCCAGTCCTTCAGCGCCTCCTGCAGGTGTTGTTCCCACAGAGACTGAATGGCTCTGATCTGGAGCTCATTGTGAGTCAGCAGCTGACGAAGTTCCTCTAAATTAAAACATTTTCCAACCTGTGAGACTCAATAAAAACTGACATTGACTCTTTAATAACTTTACATTTTAACTGAATTTGTGGACTGGTGCTTTAAGTGTCTCTGAGGCTAAAGAAACATGCTCTGGAAGCTACAGCATGGATTTTAACTGAAATGTTGTCAAAGATTAGTCTGCAATGTTTTTAAACCTTGAGATCAGGTTTACTGTCCAATATTGTGCAAATGTGTTAGATGCATAAAAAGTCAATAGTATGTGTATAAATATACACACACACTGGCCACTTTACTGGGAACACCTTGCTAGTACTGGGTTGGACTCATTTTTTCCTTCAGAACTGCATTAATCCTTCGTGGCATAGATTCAACAAGGTACTGGAAACATCCCTTAGAGATTTTGGTCCATATTGACATGATAGCATCACACAGTTGCTGCAGATTTGTCAGCTGCACATCTATGATGTGAATCCCCCGTCCACCGCATCCCAAAGGTGCTCTATTGGATTGAGATCTGGTGATTGTGGAGACCATTTGAGTACAGTCAACTCGTTGCCATGTTCAAGAAACCAATCTGAGATGATTTGAGCTTTATGACGTTGTGCATTATCCTGCTGGAAGTAGCCAACAGAAGATGGGTACACTGGTCATAAAGGGATGGACATGATCAGCAACAAGACTCAGGTAGGCTGTGGCATTGCAACGATGATCAGAACTAACAGCCCAAAAAGTGCCAAGGAAATGTCCCCCACACCATTATACAACCACCAGCAGCAGTCTGAATCATTGATACAAGGAAGGATGGATCCATGCTTTCCTGTTGTTGATGCCAAATTCTGACCCTACCATCCGAATGTCGCAGCAGAAATCAAGACTCAGGCCAGGCAAAAATGTTCTAATCTCTATTGTCCAACTTTGGTGAGCCAGTGTGAATTAGTTTCCTGTTCTTAGCTGACAGGAGTCTAACTTCTGCTGCTGCAGCCCATCTGCCTCAAGATTCGATGTGTTGTGCTTTCAGAGAAGCTCTTCTGCATACCTTGGTTGTAACGAGCAATTATGAGTTACTGCTGCGTTTCTATCAGCTCGAACCATTCTGGCTTCTCGTCTGACCTCAGGCATCAACAAGGCATTTCCCCCCACAGAACTGCCGCTCACAGGATGTTTTCCCTTTTCTGACCATTCTCTGTAAACCCTAGAGATGGTTGTGTGTGACAATCCCAGAAGACCAGCAGTTTCTAAAATACTTAGACCAGCCCGTCTGGCACCAACAACCATGTTACTTTCAAAATCAATTAAATCACGTTTCTTCCCCATTCTGAAGCTCGGTTTGAGCTGCAGCAGGCAGTCTTGACCATGTCCACGTGGCAGGTTGCTACAATGTGATTGGCTGATTTTTAATTTGCATTAACAACTGGACAGGTGTACCCAATAAAAAACACACACACACCTGATCCTTTTTTTCGTTATAGTTAATCTGTGCGTGTGTGTTCTGTCTTCTCAACCTTTGGTGAGTCACAACAGATTGCTGCTCATTCTGATCCAGGTTTTGTTGGAGGTTTCTTCCTGTTAAAAGGGAGTTTTCCTCTCCGTTGTCGCTTTACATTTGCTTAGTGTGGGGATTGCTGTCAGTGACTTAATTTGCTGGGTTTCCTTAAATAGAAACATTTTTCATTAATTGAGTTAATGAACAGACCTCAGTGCTTGGATAACTAGGTCCAATTGGAATTTTTACTTCATATAGTGCCTTGAGATTACTCTTGTGATTTGGTGCTATATAAATAAACTGGTTAGTTTTTTTTATTGTATGAACAAGTAGGGGAATTGATGCCCTCCAGTGGCAAAAAGCAGAATCCATGCTGATCTAATGTCTGGCTTTGGAGAAAGATTTTACTGTCCTCTCGTGGACACATGCTGGTACTACAGGCAGAGTTCATAAAGCTAAACAAGACATAACTCATTACATTTTCCTGTAGATTCCTTCAAAATAAAACAAATCATTTAAAAATTACTACATGTTTTGAATTAGTCCAAATGATGGGAAAGCCAGAACACATTCACTTATACAAACGTCTTTACTACTAAAAGTAAATGATAAATGGCCTGTATTTGATAAAGCACCTTCTAGAGTCCTGGAACCCCCCAAGGCGCTTTACAACACAATCAGTCATTCACCCATTCACACACACATTCAAACACTGGTGGTGATGAGCTACGATGTAGCCTGGGGCGCACTGACAGAGGAGAGTCTGCCGAGCACAGGCGCCACCGGTCCCTCCGACCACCACCAGATGGTAAACAGTAAAGTGAACAGATCTATTTCAAGTATTTCTGTTAAAAAATGTTGAATCAAAGGGCTACAATTCTTAGAAAAATTAGCAAGCTACAGCACTACAAACATATTAGATCAGGCGCCAGAGGGCGCCAATAAACTCAAAGCACACTGGGGCCTTTGCATCATCCTAATTAACCCCTAAACAGCTAAAACTGAACTTTATCTGCCAACCTAATTGTGCCATTTTTACCTCAGTACCCAGGAATTTGAACAGATATGCTAAACTAACTTTTACAGATGTTTGTATTAAATATGAAAAAACCCAGTCATTTCTGATGGATTATGAGGGAAAATCTCTCTAGAACTATTTTCTAGAACAAAATATGGATCAAGCTAAAAATAATAATAAAAAGAACTAAGGTTTTACCATTTATGATGATCATTTAATATTGTTATGGCTGGTGCCATTTATGTTTTTATTTCATTTCTTACACCTCTGTTTTATCCCTCTTGTGAGAGGAGCTGTTTTGCAGCACCTGGCTTCGCCCACACCTGTCTGGCTCCACCCTAAAGTCCCAGCTGGTGGCAATGATGATCAGCAGTTGAATGAGGACTCACTGCATAAAAGCCACCCAGCCCTCATCATCATCAGGGAGCAACAGGCTGGACATGTGGTCTCTGTCCTGTTGGCTCCTCGGCGTGCTTTTGTTTTAATGTCTTTTAGCCAATTTGTGTCTTTTATGTGCAGGGGTTTCCCTGATTTGAACATTAATGTTCTTGTGTGTGCAGGGGGTTTCCTAATTTGTAGGTATATTGGCTAAGTAGAGTTTATTATTTTATTTTACTATTTTAGTTGCTGCCGATTAGTCCAGTTGTGTTTATTTTTCCTTGGTGTAAACAACTTTGTTTAACTTTTAAAACCCGAGCATGTGTCCTCCTTGTGGCCCCAGGCCTACTAGACAGCCTGGATTGTAACAAATGGGGGCTCATCCGGGATCTTTTGATCCCCAATTTTTCCTGGACACAAGCTTTTCCTCTGGGTGTTATTTTTGGGTTTTTTTTGGGGGGGGGGGGGAGTTCAGACGCTCCATCCCATGCGCTCATTGGTGCATGGTGTGGGTGTGGAATGTGGGACATGACACATCATCTCTGGATTTGAAGATGGCTCAAACTGACCAAATTTTCTGTAGGGGGAGAAGACCATGCGTCGCTCTCACTGCCACGAGGTGCTGTGGATCCGGAAGCCTAGATGTGTCACCCTCGGTAGCCCCACCTCCTGTCATCCCTGCTGGTGTGGCTACATCTGCGGCAGATACTGGCTTAGCCACACCAAAAAGGACGAGGTCAGAGCTTTGGAAAAACTTCCTCACTGTGAACCGTCTCTGACACCTAGACTGTTTGCATCTGTGACTGTGAGCAGCCTGTCGGGAAGACTGGAGCATTGGTGAAGATCGCTGTCGCTGTTGGATATCATCATTGTGATGAAACTAGACTTTGGGTGAGCAGTGGATTTGTTTGTGTAAAGGATGTGAGACTTGGGGAACCTGTATTGTCTACATCGCATCTAGAGTTGATTGTCGCCTCCCAGCTCCTGCTTTGCACCTATACCATTGGCCTCAGAGCAGTTAATCATATGGTATTGACTTTGGGGCTGTTTTGTGATTAGGGGTGTGGGTGGGAGATTTGTGTTAAAGTTGATAACTTTATTATTAAGGGAGGAGAGCGTTATGGCTGGTGCCATTTGTTTTTATTTCATTTCTTACTCCTCTGTTTTATCCCTCTTGTGTGAGAGGAGCTGTCCTCCAGGCCTCATTTTGTTTTCAACCCCTTCGTTTGTGATGAGTTTGAACTTTTAAAGTTTTAACTCTGAGTTGACAGAGTTGACAAAGGGGTTGAAAACAAAATGAGGCCTGGAGGACAGCAGAACCCCTGCACTACTGCTGAAGGCACAGCCTTTTTATCCAGGTGTCGGTCATCAGCAGGATTCAGATCAGCTGTGCTCCTCAGCAGCCTGGAAGAGAGGAGGAGGAGGGGCGGTGTCAGGCTGATCACCGGGGCTGGGTGATCCTGGCTCCTGAATCTCACTGGCCAGGCTGGTAGCCGTAACAAATATTATGAAAAAGTTACCAATTGCAAAAGAATGATGGGGTGTAACATGTTTGTTTTATTAGTGTCATTCTGTTGTGGAAACCTAGAACCTCAGACTCTTACTGGTCTCATCACTGGCTCTGCGCCCCTCCTGACCCATTCGGCTCAGTCTCTGCAGTAGTCTGGCATTTTCAGCCTTCAGCTCTTTAACCAGGCGCTCTGTTGGGCTCTCGTTTACCACCGCCCGGTTCTGAATTCGCTTTGCCCTGGCGGAGGAAAGGAAATAACACAAGAACAAATAAAAGCTAGTTGAGACGTTTCTGATTCCCTGCTGAAATGTGATTGCACTCCTCAAGTGCCCCTCACTCATCTGTCCTTTGAGCAAATTATAGGTGGATGTAATTCCAAGTCCAAACACTGATGATGCTAATGAGCAAAATGGGATTTTCCTTCGTGGAATCTTATGTAAGGATGTTGGGCTAATACTTGGCTCCTCTATAAATATTGTACCTCCTTGCAAGCCTCACTCTCAGAAAATCATAGATCCATCACTGCCTCTGAGTAAATGGATGCCGTACCTCTCAGCATAGCGCAGCGTGGAGAGAGACTCCTCATAGCAAATATCTGCAGGGCTCAGAGTGGCAATCTGGAATATTTACAGTCAGGTCCATAAATATTGGGACATCGACAATATGCTAACATTTTTTGCCCTACACACCACCACAATGGATATCAAATGAAACGAACAAGATGTGCTTTAACTGCAGACTGTCAGCTTTTATTTGAGGGTATTTACATCCAAATCAGGTGAACGGTGTAGGAATTACAACAGTTTGCTTATGTGCCTCCCACTTGTTAAGGGACCAAAAGTAATGGGACAGAATAAGAACCATAAATCAAACTTATATATTTCAATACTTGGTTGCAAATCCTTTGCAGTCAATTACAGCCTGAAGTCTGGAACACGTAGACATCACCAGACGTTGGGTTTCATCCCTGGTGATGCTCTGCCAGGCCTCTACTGCAACAGTCTTCAGTTCCTGCTTGTTCCTGGGGCATTTTCCCTTCAGTTTTGTCTTCAGCAAGTGAAATGCATGCTCAGTCGGATTCAGGTCAGGTGACTGACT